TTGGAAATCTTTTAGACAATTTGGTAATAGATTTGGAAATCTTTTAGACAATTTGGTAATAGTAATAGAGTTTTTTCGCTATATTTGAACAGAATGGTCAGGCTTTAACCCTTCTTACTTCCCTTTTGCCTTTCTATATTTTATCACAATCAAGAAGCATAATTTTTGGTACTTAAAAAGTATTAGTGAGAAAGTAAAATTTATAGATAGGGATTTAGGTCGGAAGAAGGGAAAAAGCCTATTCATTCTGTTCATAGGAGGAAGCTTGGGGAGAAAAAAATGGGGCCTGTAAACGACACTATGTATTACTGAGAATTTAAATGACCGACCCTGTTTAATTTTTAAATTAAACAGATTAATTAAACAATAAATTTCTTGGAACGTCAAAGCACTATCAAACATTAAAGTTTAAGCTAATCAGCTTTTACAAAAGAAAATGAATTATTTTTTAATTTAAATTCAAATAATAATTCAATTTGAATCACAATTTTTTAAAGCAAAAAAGCGATTTACAACAAAAAATTTTTCAGTTGTAAAAAGTAATAAAAATTAAATCAAATCATTCAATCACGAGAAAATAAATACTCAATAATTTTTTTGCTGTTTTTGGATGTTTAAAATTTTTGTTGGTTAAATAAAATGGATTGGATGTTTTAATTTATTTAATGAACATATTACTGCAATTTAATTAATTAATTTAACAGTAAAATAAGAAATGATTGAGAAGGAGAAGGAGAAGGGGAAAGTGTTTGAAAACGAGAAAAAAATTTAGAAAAAAATTTTTTCTAGTCGGAGGAAACTGGGACGAAATTAATGATATTTAATTTATTTTATGTTAAGAAAGAAAATTAATAATTTAATAAACCTTTCAAATCTTTTAACAGGCAGACTTTTTTATTTATCTTATGAGTAAATTTATTAAAATAAATTTTATTTGTTAATTAATTATAATCACTGTATTTTTTCACCCTTATCAATAATTTTGTTAAAAATTTTTATTAGATTATAGAAAGCCTGGTCTATAAAATTTTGTGGTAATCACGAGAAATAATAGTATTAATTTTGCTTTTAATGCAGAAATGCCTGAATGCTTTAAAGCTTTAATAGAAGGCCCATGACGAAGCTGGCCAACGTAGCGCGAGCTTAACGTACCGCAGAGCCATAGATTCTTTCAAAATAGTCGAATTAGGACGAGCTGAATCGAACCATATCCGGATTCTACGATTTTGAACGAAGCCTCTGTGGTACGTTGGCCTCGCGGTACGTTGGGGTGTGCCCGTCCCATGACAAGACGTTTTGGATAATAAATTTGGATAATAAATAAATTCCTCAATCATTTTACTCAAAAATTATTTAAGCTAGATTATTCTCAGAAATCGGAGATATCGTGTAGAATGTAGGACTATCCAGTCTACACGATATCCTCGGGCCCTACAGTGTAGACTGTAGGGCCCGAACTTTTTTTAGTTTAGCGCCTACATCGCTAATTTAATTTCCTTCAAAAATTCACCCTCTGATGCCAATTTATTTCCTAATTTCCTTAATTTCCAATTTTACATTACACTTTGACTATTTCTTAAAACTTAAAACACGCGCATCAAAAGTTTGACTAAACAAGCATTGATTATTACATCATTATTACTTAATTAAAATAACATCCGCCATTCACTTGCCCTTCTCTCCTTTTTTCCCTTTTTTATTCGCCGCATTTTAATATTATTAAAAATATAATTTAAATAAATTTATTTTTATCAAATTTTAAAAAATAAAAAAAATTATTTAATTTTTTCCTTTTTTCTCGATAATTCCAAAATTATTATTTAATCAATTAAAAAATACTAATAAAAATATGTACATTAATATTTACCACACTTTTCTTTTCTTTCTGATAAGAAATTTTTATTAATGATATTAATTCGCTTACAAATAAATTAAAAAATAATTTTAGAACAAAAATTAACTAAAAAACTTCTTTAATTATTTTATTAAAAATATAGTCGGACCTCACAGAAAAACTATCATTTACCTTATAATGAAGTGAATTTTGTAAATATTTAGGAAATATTTAGGCAGTTCGGTCACCTACTCATCGATAAGAAAGTGGGTACCTGATTTTGGAGTATTTGTTTATGCTGGTTCGACTGTATGTATCGACTTATTAACGAAAATCATAGCCTTAGTTTAGTCCATTTTATGTTACTGAAACATGTGACAATCCCCGATGAGTAGGGGGTTGGTTATCTTGATACCTTGCTTGTATCTCTGTGGACCTACTATTAACAACTACCTATTTTAAATCTTAAACACTTATCTCCTTTTTGTAAGTGCATAATTATTACCCTTAAAAAATTTTTTTAATTTTCCAAAATTAATATTAGCTTGGAAATTCTCATTCTACTGTCTCATTATCTTATTTTTGAATTATTTTTCAAAATAATTAATATTTTAAAAGTAATTCATTTCAATGATTTCTTCATCAACAAATCAGTCTACATTAGCCCAACAACAACAACATCAACAACATTTACAGCAACATCAACAGCCTCCACAAAGAGGACATAATGTTCAGACGAGGGATTATGCATCGCTACAATTGGAAGTTTTTGAATTGGTTGGTGATAAGAAATAAAACTCGCCGAGATCCAATATCTGATTTGGGTCTCTTAATATAGTGTCGGATCTCTTAAATAATTATCGATAATTCCAAAAATGTACGGTCTCGTGCCGATCAACTATGAAATTAATGAGACAGTCAATCGAAACCTTCCTAGGGATATATGAATCCATGACAGGCAGGTCACACCAAATATCCTTAAGTACAGGAAATGATAATTTAAAAAAATAAAATTTAATTTTTAAATAAATTTTCATAAAATTATCCTTTCATAACTAAAAATCTGTAAAATAATTTTTTAGCTCTGCATTTTTCAAAGAGTTAAACGAATTCAATCAAAAGATACCACTCAATGTGGCCAACTTGTCCAAGACAATACAATGAATGATGAACAAAGGAGTGAATATATTAATCGTTCAATGTATAGAATTTTGAATGAAGTTGAAGCTAAAATTGTTTGTTTGCCAAATAATACAGGCAATTTAAATTAATAATATTAATTAATAATTATGAAGCTTGACGCGCTTTATGTGTGGCTCAATATCTCTAAGAGCTCAATATCTCAAAAATGTCGAGCTAGATAATCAAGCATTTTTGTTCGAGATCTCGTCGCAGACTGATCGTCGCAGTCTGATTTAATTTTAAGTATATAGACTCTCCTTTAAAAATTATATAGCATAATTAAGTGTATCTAGGCGGTATCACCTAGAAAGCTACCAATCGAATTTTCGGATACTTATGTTAAATTGAGTTATCTATTGGGTATTTTATATCTTGTTCTCATATAGATAGATATCTTCTCGAATCACTATCGAGCCGATCATTTATTTATATTGTAATTTTTAGATCCAATAACTCCAGATTATTTTGATGAATGGAGTTTTTTAACATGGGCATTATTACAAATAATTAACAGATTGGAGGCTATGAATAAAAATGAAAGTAATCTTTTGGATTATTGTGGAAAGCATTTTAAAGTATAAATTAAAGTTGTGGTATTTTAGAATAAACATTATTAAACAGGAGAAGATACATACAGCCCTAGTTGATTTGGTTAATAAAGCTCATCGAATGCAACCCCCACCTACATTACAACCTAATGATCAGCAATTTGAAAGATTCTATCAAGTAAACAAAAAAATTTATTTTTAGGGCAGATCTGATAGAAGGAGGAATGGAGGGTAAGGGGGATTAGAAAGGAGGGTAAGGAGGAGAAGGGAGGAGGGTAAGGGGAGTAGAGTGGAGGGGAAAGGGGAGTAGAGTGGAGGGTAAGGGGGAGTAGAGTAGAGGGGAAGGGTGAGTAGAATGGAGGGTAAGGAGTAGTGTTTCACCGGAACCGAAATTTTGACCGGAACCGGAACCGGAACCGGATCCAATTTAAGTTCCGGTTCCCGGAACCGGAACCGGAACCTTTCAAAGTTCCGGCCCGGAACCGGAACCGGAACCGGAACTTTTAAAAAATTTTTTGCTAGCACATTTTAAAAAATTTTTATTTTAAGTAGGGGTGCGGTTTCGCCAAATTTTTCGATTAAATTCTGCCAAATTCTTCTGTTAATCGAAACGAAAAAAAATCCAAGTTTTGGAAGACCAAATCCCCAGCTATTCAATCCCTGATATCTACCTTGCACAGCTCATTCCCTGGACATCACACCCAAATCCCTCTATATTACCTATAACCCCTTGAACTCACATAATGTAACTAAAAATCCACCTTCATCCATCCAAATCCTTCGATTTACCATACAACTTCCCTTCATAGCGCCGCAGGCGAAAATTTTGGGATTTTAGGTGAACCAAGGATACAAAATTCTTCCTTTTTAAGCGCCGCAGGCGAAAATTTTGAGAATTTGTGTGACCAAGTAGCTAGATTTCTTCCTTTTCTGGCGCCGCAGGCGAAAATTTTGTTAATTTTGGAAGGCCAATCGGGGAAAATATTGCAAGGCCAATCCATATTTCTTAAAAAAACTAATCCTTAGGGGTGTAAAAAAGTTCCGGTTTGCCCGGAACCGATTTGTAAACCGGAGCCGGAACCGGAACCGGAACCAATTTGAGTTCCGGTTCCCGGAACCGGAACCGGAACCAAAAAAACACCGGAACTTTCCGGAACCGGAACCGGAACCGGAACTTCCGGTGAAACTCTAGTAAGGAGGAGTAGAGTGGAGGGTAGGGGGGAGTAGAGTGGAGGGTAAGGGGGAGTAGAGTGGAGGGTAAGGGGGAGTAAAGTGGATAGTACGGGGGAGTAGAGTGGAGGGGAAGGGAGGGAGAGGAATACTTGGCGGATAATAACGAATCACTCGGAGTCCTCTTATAAAGAGAATAACACTATAATTTAATTTTTTAAAAGTCGTATGTCACTGCACTCATTTCCCTCCATGAACTTTATACAATGACTCAACAACACCAACAACAAAATAGTGCAAATATTTTTGAATTTGAAGCACATATAGCCCATTTTAAAACACAATTAAATGCTTGTTTTGCTTTACAAAGAGCATTTGCTAATTCTGTTAGTTTCAAAAAGGATACTTCAAAAATTAATTTTTTCAGCACGGTTCAATGATTTGGAGACAATTAAGAGAACATCAAATACGAAAAATGACAAATTATGGATATGAAAATAAAGGGTTTCTTGATTCTGCCGTTACATTTTATGCTCATATGTTATACAATTTGGGGGTTTTGGCTGCTAGAATACAGGGATTCGCTTATGAAATTCGCAACAACAAAACTTTTGTTTCTGGTCATTCTGATTTGGTTAAACCTTTATTGGCAATTGTAAATGACATTAAACAATTTTAAAATATTTTTATTTCCCCAATAGGTCTATAAAATGGCAGATGTTTTACTTAGTGATAGCATTATTTGTCTAGAACCAAGTCTAAATCCAATTTTGGTTACTAATAATTTGTATGTTTTGTCCTTTGATTTGACATAAATCAACCTGCAAAATTAAAATTAATTTTTTAGGTTCCCAATGAAAATTGTTTCACTATGCCGTTTCTCGTTTTTCCGGGATTTTTCTTTACAAATTGTATCGGAAGAAATGGCACAACAAATACAACAGGAGATGCTTCATCACAAAACTTTTGATCCACCCTCTCCCATTCGCAAGTATTTTTAAATAATTTAACTGAGTCTCTCGGGAGCGGTTTATTTTTATGGAGGTTTACGTTTAGAAGGGAACATTGTAAAAATATAAAAAATATTTTAGAAAAAATACAGTAATTATTTAACAATAATTTTAGAACACGTACAGCTGCTTTATTAGCAATGAAACCTGCAACTGGAGTAAAACGGAATAATGCTAAAGCATCTGAAGGTGATCTGAAAATAATTCTCAAAAAATTTTTGAATTTAACAGAAGGGGGAAATACGGCACATAAAAAATCAGATGTAAATTCAAAGGAATGGATTTCTATCCCTCCCTTATACGATACAGAACATGGAGGATGGTGTGCAACATATCCTCATTTACTCTGTACAACAAGACAAAAAGTGTTTTAAAAAATTAAAAATTTTTTATGAATTTATTTAAAAGGATACTTTACTTGAAACTCGTTCTGCTGTCCAAACAGGCAAACGCCCTCTTTTTTATTTTCATGTTAGGGCAGAATTGTTCAGCTTTTCTGGTGCTTTTACAACAGCACATACACTCTCATTACCTTTTACTATTGCAACGAGAAGAAATCAGGTGAATCTAAGGAATATTTTTTAAAGTTTCAATCCTACCGATAAAATCAAAAAAATTTATTTCTCGAAAAAATATCTTGTTGGCATACGTACATAAATTAGACAAACTGTGTATTCCAAATATTCGAGTGACATAGGTTTTTCGGTTCCAAAAGGTTTCAATTTTTTGACAGCTCCACGGTTTCGACTCTCAACGTGTTCTTATGGTTTGACAGTTCTATTGTTTCGTTTCTACTGCGGTTCCAAAAACCGATCCCTATAGTCAAGAAAACAAGACAATTACGTACCTTAATTCTAAGGATTGTCAAGTTCAACGAATGATGAGTTCTTATACAGCTACATGTTTTTGGCTTTATGGAACAAATGTCTTTGATGGTCTTTTACTTCAATGGCATGATGGGGGTAAAAAATAAATTTAAATGAATTGAATTTATTTTCTAAAATTTAAAGAAATTGACTGGAAACATTTTAAATTGCTTTATTCCCTTTATTTTGCAATGAATGCAGAAGTAACAAGAACCTTTATTGATGAAGACTTTAATATCTTACAACAAAAAATGCATTGTTCAGAGTGTACTGAACGCAGTAAGTTATGCATACATATTTGGAAATTTACTTGTTTCTAATAATCCTTTAATCCTATTGATAAGAACCTTAAACGTAAAAAACGTGGAACTTAAGTTAACATAAATTTATTTGATAATTAAACGAGCTTGCAACCTACTTGACATTTGAACTAGGAACGTGTTTGCAAGTGTCTATACTTAAAATCTTGACAATTGAGCTTAAGCTTATTTAATACTTACACTTAAAATTTGACAATTTAACTTAAGCCTGAAACTTATTTTATCATAATGCCATTTATCTTAGATTTAAGGCCAGAAGCTTTAACAGCTCCTATCCGCCTTCTTCCTATCTTCTCTCATAATCCACGCATAAAATTAAATTAAGAAATTTAAAATATTTTTAAAATTAAAGCTACAATTGACCTAACAAATGAATACTCTTTGGACCAACCTTCTTTAATAAGTTTCAAAAATGTTCTCTGTCCTCATTTACATTTTACTTCACCAAATTGTGATTTGAGATTTAGTGTTTGGTAATTAAAATTTTAATTGAAAAATATTTTTAAAATCAAAAAAGGAGAGGAATGTTGGAACTTTTGCATTTATTCAGTGACCAAAAAACAGAAACAAGAAATTTATGGGAGGCTGGATTGCTTCAAGGATTTATGGAATTAAATACCCTTCTATTTTATTTAGCTTAAAATGAATTTTTATTATTTTAAAATCTTATATCGACTTTAGCTATAAATTCTATTATGAATTCTTATTATTAATCATTTATTTCAACGTTTTATTAATTATTAAATTTATGATTTCTGTAAAATTTAATTTACACGATCTCATAAAATTATGCCAAGTTCAACTATCCGTCAGCCTTGGGTGTATTGTTGTAGGGTTTTTATCTAGTGTGGGATGTTTATAGACCCCTCTAATTCAGTGTTTTTGAACTGCCTTTCGAGAGCCATAACGTATATAATTGAATCAACTTAATTGCATTCTTAAATACACTCAAAGGGGTATCTAGCAGAGGTGGTATCTAGTATCATCTAGATAGTATCTAGTATCTAGACCTCTGGTATCTAGTGGTATTTAAAATTTAATTATGTCAAAGGGATTAATTTTCAAAAAAATTTTTTTAGAATTATCTTATTAAAATGAAAAGAAATTTAGCTAATAATTGTCAAATATGCGGTTCTGTTGTGAAAGTTTCTCATCAATATAATGTTGATTGTTGTAGAGTTTGTGCAGCATTTTTCAAGTTTTAAAAGTGTTTTTAAATAAATTTAAATTTCAAATTTAAAAAAGGATCCAACTTAATCAAAAAGGAATCAAATTTGAATGCAAATGTTTCCCAACACGATTCAAAACACCTTTAAGGTTGATAGATTGTGAGAAATGTCATCTCAATAAATGCCTATCTGTTGGAATGAGAGAACTAGGTGTTGGCCCTAAGAGAGAAGGTTCATCTACTGGACGGCAACTGATAAATACGAACTTGATGTCTGAAGTATGCCCTAAAGAAGATGCAAGAGGTCCATTTAATAGACAACAAGTTGTAAATACAGAATTTGAATACTTTTCGGAACTGTTTTCTGATAATGATCCATTTAGACAACAATTAATAAAAACTGAAAGTTGGGAAGATGAAAAGGTTGTCGATTTTTGACATTACAAGTAATTTTCTACACCCAATACTAGGTATACCTAATCTAAAATGAGTTTTAGGATTAGATTATTAACTAGAAGTGGGTATGGCTTTATTTTTCAAACTGCATAAAAATGCTCAAAATCCACTAAAAATCATCGAAGTGATTCGTCAGATTTCTTGCATATGCTAACTCTTGTATTAAGGATTAGAACCCGGTCGGAGGGGTCGATATCGAAAAATATCGAAAAAATATTAGGCCGGGCTCTATTAAGTAGCTTAATCTAACTGTAGTAGGAACAATTTTAAAAATTATAATTCTTCAGATTGTTGGCACGATTGTAAATAAATCTGCTAATGAGCATAATCAACTAAATTTCCTCCTAAAAATCACTAAAAATAAGGAAAGGATAATGCATGCTTTTACTGATATGAACGACTCTTTTCTTTATGGCCCAATTTATTTTGAAAATATTATACTCTCAGGGGTTAATATTTTTGAACACATTGAAATGTTTTCGGTAATTTCGTATTAGAATTTACAAAAAATTATTTCGATCACTTTCAGCCAAATCCTCGGCCAATTTCTCGAGAAGAAATGCTTAGCTGGGAATTGGACAATGAAAGGGAAGGAATATTTAATAAGAGGACATATAAGTGTGTGATTGTTCATCACCTGTTATGTGTTGCTATTGCAAGATCTTTGCCTTTCTTTGATAAATTATCCATAGCTGATAAGGTCCGTTGGAATCGGGTAATAAAATAAATTTTAATTATTCTTTATTTGTAGATTGCACTTTGCCGACATGTATCAGGCCCATTCCTATGCTTTACAAGTTCTTTTATTCCATGTGAACTTGGAGTAGATACTTGGACACGTAAGGATTGTGTCATGCCTGCTCTTGGTATCATGCAAAACAAAGAGTTTATACAGGATCATAAGTACGATTGTTGCTAAAGCCAGCCTCACTATGAGATACATCCTATGCTATATGTGGCATAAATAGGGCAAAATCACAAAAAATAAAATATATTCAGTTAACAAAGGACAAACATGTTTAAAATGTTAGAAAGCCAATGCCCTCATCAGCTCTGGTTATGGCTCCGTGAGCCGGATCCGGAGACAGGAATTCGAAAACCTCTGAGCCGGAGCCAAGGTTTAAAAATGTCTATGTAGGAGTCAACAAATGCCCAATACTCGGCACTGCCCCTCATTACTATAATATGCAATTTTTATCAAAAAGGTTATCTCATAGTGATGTATTACTGTATCAAATTGAAATACCTTTTTTATATTTTTTTATTAAACAGGTTATTTATCCTGGCTGATCGAATATTTACAAAGTCTGTAATTCCCTTTAAAAAAGTGGCACTATGCAAAGAAGAATATGCACTATTAATGGCTATTATGTTTTCACACCCAAGTAGAATTCAAACTTGTTTTAAAAGACCATAATTGTTTAAGGTATTGAGGGGTTATCACATTATGGAAGAGACTTGTTATATGAAGAGTCTGCTAGATACACGAGAATGTTACTTGGATATCAACAAAATAAATTGGGGATAATTGAGGGTGCATCCAGACTGGATGAATGCTTTAGTTTAATAAATATATCATTCCAAATAGATCAAGCAATTCGTGAAATGCATATGCATCTACGTGATATTACTCAAAATAAATCTCACGATCTTATTGAACGTTATTTGAATAATTCACTCTGATAAAATATTTTTTGAATCAAAAAATGTCAATAGTATAAGAATATACAGTTGAAACTCACTTGTAGAAGTTGATATACAGTCACGGAAAAATGATAGATTTATCAACTTTTGTTAAGCTTATCGGTATCGGTATTATACGGTAGACGGTACGGAATTCCGGGCTCTAGTCTGTACGATTCAATATTACCAAAATTTTTAATAATATAATCAAAAGACTTGTAAATATGAATTAAAAATTTTTTTGAAAATAATTTATTTTAAGAAGTTTGACGTTAAAAATTAAAAATATAAATAACTTATTTTTGTTACATAAAAATTAGTCCGCAGAATATATCTGTAAGACAATCATGGATAACTCAGAAAAAGCATGAAAACAAACATTTCATTCTTATAATTTCCAATATATTCATGACGTTCCCCATCTGGTTCGACAATTGTTTTATCCCCAAATTGCCAAAGAATCTCTAATTAATAACATTTCCATTATTTGTAAGTATTTGGAAAAACTTATCTTCAAGAAAGTTTATCTATAAAAATCAAAATTAATTGAAAATGCCACTTTCACTTTTTTCCTTAGCAAAAATTTAATACCTCAAAATTACAATTAGCTGATACACGTGAAAATTAGGGAGAAGAAAGATTCAAGGTTAAAATTAGAAATAGTCAATTAATAAATCTAAAAAATTTTCCCATTAGAAATAAAAATTTACCGTAATTCTGTATTTGTTAGATTAGACTTTTCATCTCTTTCTACAAAAAAGTCGGATCGAGTTTCGGGTCGGGTTTTGGAAAATTTCTCGGTCGGGTTTTGAGTCGGAAAAAGACCGCGTTTCGGGTAACCCGACCCATCACTGGACTGCACGCAACTGAAAGAAAAATTACTAAATTTTTTCCATAATTCACAATTTTTAAACTCCACAAACGTAGTCTGCAAGTCAAAATTTTACGCAATCCGCAATTCGCAGTTGCGTGAACCCTAGCCCCCGACACCTGCTTCACAATTGTCTAGTGAGCTTGCCTGCTTCCAATTAAAACCATAATAGCAAAAAAAATTTACATAAAATATAATTTTAAAATTATTTAAAATAAAATTTCAAACTACTTCCAAATATACTCAAACATCACTCGTAAACGAAATTTGTTAACTAAATTGTATCACAAATTTTAATCACATTGTGTACTAACGTGGATTTTTAGGCTCTCTCGAATATATAATTTAGTATTATTTGTGTATTTAGCATTTTATTTAAAAAAATTATGGAATCGAATAAAAATGTACTATGGAAATTTATAAATCCTTCCATTTACTTACTTTTAAAATTTATATCGACTATATAATTTCAGCATTTTCATATTTTATAAATTAATTTGTTTAATTATTAAATTCAATTCCGTTAAATTTAAAATAATTTACCCATATTGTATTGAGATAATAGGCCTTAATTGAAAAATAGATCAGTAAGACAATCTTAAGCTCCTTATAAACAAGGGCGTGCCAGTTTCGATTAAAGTTTCGCCTTTTGTATTAAAATTAATTTAGGCACTCTCCTTTAGCAAATGAGAGTCTTAACACAGTCTAATCTCATCTTTACATATTCCTAAATTGAATACTCTCAATTTAAGATAACTTTTTTAGGGAGAGATCACTAGGCGCTTTTGTAATTATTAAAGTAAAATTTTATATGTATTATTAAACAAACAAATTTCGTTTACGAGTGATGAACAAATTTCGTTTACGAGTGATGTTTGAGTATATTTGGAAGTAGTTTGAAATTTTATTTTAAATAATTTTAAAATTATATTTTATGTAAATTTTTTTTGCTATTATGGTTTTAATTGGAAGCAGGCAAGCTCACTAGACAATTGTGAAGCAGGTGTCGGGGGCTAGGGTTCACGCAACTGCGAATTGCGGATTGCGTAAAATTTTGACTTGCAGACTACGTTTGTGGAGTTTAAAAATTGTGAATTATGGAAAAAATTTAGTAATTTTTCTTTCAGTTGCGTGCAGTCCAGTGATGGGTCGGGTTACCCGAAACGCGGTCTTTTTCCGACTCAAAACCCGACCGAGAAATTTTCCAAAACCCGACCCGAAACTCGATCCGACTTTTTTGTAGAAAGAGATGAAAAGTCTAATCTAACAAATACAGAATTACGGTAAATTTTTATTTCTAATGGGAAAATTTTTTAGATTTATTAATTGACTATTTCTAATTTTAACCTTGAATCTTTCTTCTCCCTAATTTTCACGTGTATCAGCTAATTGTAATTTTGAGGTATTAAATTTTTGCTAAGGAAAAAAGTGAAAGTGGCATTTTCAATTAATTTTGATTTTTA